GGATTTAGTTTTAAATACAAGTATTAAGCCTGCAATCATACTGAGCTGATTGGAGAAGGATTTGGCCGTCCAGAACTGCAACAAGAGCCAAAACACCAAGTCAAGAGGTGAGTGATGCGCTTCGGAACTGCTGGAGCCTCATGTTGGATGCAGAAAGCGGTAAAACGTGAAGCGAGTGTTCTCACAGGTCACTCTAAGAAGCCAGAGCAACTAAAGAACATTCATTCGCAAATAATATGACAGCACTGACAACCAAGCGCCTTTACCACGGGCTTTCTCTGCCCCTGGGTAAATGATCTGGTCCATTGATCTCAGGACCCAGGGCGACCACGGTCCCTTTTAAATTGGTAGTATGACGCGTTCAAAGTGTAGTCTGGCCCTGGCACGGTGGCTCACGCCTGTAATCCCAGCACCTTGGGAGGCTAAGGAGGGAGGATCGCTTGAGTCCAGAAGTTTGAGACCAACCTGGGCAACATAGTGAAACCCCGTGTCTATTAAAAAAAATAATAATAAAGTCAATAATTTTTAAAAAGAAAGAAAGTATAGTCTGAAAAGGCTCAGCTTTAGTTTATTGAGGAACTGATTGGAAAAATAAATTATGAGTTCCCCACGCCCCGATCCCACACATCCTGAATCAGTTCCTAGAGGGTGGGCTTAGGGGTTGAGGAATTCGCGCTTCCTCCAGGTAACTTTTTATTTTTTTATTTCTCAGACAGGCTCTGCCACCCGGGCTGGAGTGCTGTGACGGCGCGATCATACCGCAGCCTCGACCTCCTGGGCTCAAGCGATCTTCCCACCTCAGCCCACGCCGCCCCACCCCCGCCACGCCCCTCCCCTCCCCACCCCCGCCACGCCCCTCCCCTCCCCACCCCCTCCACGCCCCTCCCCTCCCCACCCCCGCCATGCACCCCCCCCTCCCCACCCCCCGCACCCTAGTAGTTGGGATTACAGGCCCCACCAGCCCGGCTAATATCTAAAATTTTGGAGGAGATGAGACCTGGGGCGGACGAGGATTGGAGGGACTGAAGGGACAGGGGTGGGGGTCTCACTGTGTTCCCTAGGCTGGTCTTGAATTCTTGGCCGAGCTCCCGGACTCGAGATCTCCCTCCGCAGCCTTCGCAGTAGGTGGGACTACGAGAGGCCTGCGCCGCCGCGCCCAGCCCTCCGGATAATTCTTCAAGCTCTTCAAGGGTAGAAGCATCAGCTAGATCAGGATCACCGAAGGGCCTTGGAGACAGGCAGCCAACGGCAGATAATGGTTGGAATTCGGTTCCTCCCTTCCAGGATGGAAACGGAATGCAGCCCTCGAAAACACAGCTATTAAAGCACCCCACCTGCGCGCTCGGGTGTGGCCCCTGCGGCTTTCAACCCGCAATTCAGAGGAAAGCTGACCTAATGGCCTGAGTTGATCCTCATGCCCTTGGTAGGGACAGAATTTCAAGAGGGAAGACCATTTCCTTACCATATTTTCTTTTCTTCGTTGCCTTTTTTTTTTTTTTTTTAACAAGATAATCATCTTGTTTCCCTGGGTTTTTTTGCCCAGCTTTTTGAGAATGTTTTATTACGGAAACCTCAAACATGTACAGTCTGGTTCCGGCTAAAGTGCCATTCATTCCTCCTTCCTGGGTTACTTTGAAACAAAGGCCAGATCTCCTATGATTTCATTCATAAAGTCAGGGGAAAGGCCGGGTGCCTTGGCTCGCGCCTGTAATCCCAGCACTTCAGGAGGCCGAGGTGGGAGGAACACTTGAGCCCAAGAGTGTGAAACCAGCCTGGGCAACATAGTGAGAGCTCATTGTTACCGAAAAATAAAAACAAAATAACCGTGCGCGTGGCTGTGGTGGGGCACGCCTGTGGTCCTGTCTACTCGGGGGGCGGAGGTCAGAGGATCCCTTTCGCCTAGGAGCCCCGGGCTGCAGTGAGGCTGTCTCACTCCAGAGGAGTGGAAAAAACACTTTGTTCCTACTATAACTACAGTATCCTTTTTACATCTACACACAATTCAAAATAATTATTTAATATTTTCAAAATATTGGGGCCGGGCGCGGTGGCTCAAGCCTGTAATCCCAGCACTTTGGGAGGCCGAGGCGGTTGGGTCACCAGAGGTCAGGAGTTTGAGATCAGCCTGGCCAACATGGCAAAACCTCCTCTGTACTGAAAATACAAAAATTAGTCGGACGTGGTAGTGGGTGCCTGTAATCCCAGCTACTGGTGAAGGCTGAGGCAGGAAAGTTGCTTGAACCCAGGAGGTGGAGGTTGCAATGGGCCAAGTTCACATTCCTGCACTGCAACCTGGGCGACAAAGCAAAACTCCGTCTCAAAAAAAAAAAAAAAAAAAAAAATCCAATTATCTGATATATTTTTCTCTTCTTTCATTTTTTTTTCTTAAGTATAATCTCTTAATCACTTTCTTTTTTTAAACAATCTGTTTGAAACAACATCCAAACGAGATCTTTGATAAATTAAAATGTGCCTTAAATTTTTCTTTAATCTGCAAGTTATCGCCATCTGTTTTTATTTATTTATTTTGTGGAGACAGTCTCACTATGTTGCACAGGCTGGGCTTGAACTCCTAGGCTCAAGCAATCCTGCCTCAGCCTCCTGAGTAGCTGGGATTACAGGCACATGCCACTGTATGTGGCTTCCACTTCTTACTTCTTACAATTTGTTGTTGTTATTGTCAAAAGAATTGTGTGAATTTCCTATAGTTTCCTATTTAAATTTCGCAGTTTTACTTGTTTTACCCTTTAGTTTGTTCTCCTAGCTTCTGTTGCCCAGGCAGGAGTACAGTGGTGCGATTGCAGCTCACTGCAGCCTCTACCTGCTGGGCTCAAGAAATCCTCCCACTTCAGCCTCCTGAGTAGCGTGGCTACAGGCATGTGCCACCACACCGGTTTAAATTAATTGTGTGTAGAGACAGGATCTCACTATGTTGCCCAAGCTGGTCTTGAATTCCTGGGCTCAAGCAGTCTCCCACGTATGTCTCCCACAGTGCTAGGATTACAGGTGTGAGCCACCACACTGAGCCTGCTATTTTAAGGTTTATTTTTATTTTATTTATTTATTTTTGAGATGGAGTCTTGCTCTGTTGCCCAGGCTGGAGTGCAGTGGCACAATCTCAGCTCACTGCAACCTTGGCCTCCTGGGTTAAGCAATTCTCCTGCCTCAGCCTCCTGAGTAGCTAGAATTACAGGCACGCGCCACCACGCCCGACCAATCTTTTATATTTTTAGTGGAGATGGGGGGTTCACTATTTTGGCCAGGACCTCTTGAACTCCTGGCCTCAGGTGATCCACCCACCTCTGCCTCCCAAAGTGTTGGGATTACAGGCACGAGCCATCACACCTGGCCAGTTTGTTTGTTTGAGACGGAGTTTTGCTCTTGTTGCCCAGGCTGGAGTGCCATGGTAAAATATCGGCTCACCGTAACCTCCGCCTCCCAGGTTCAAGCAATTCTCCTGCCTCAGCCTCCCGAGTAGCTGGGACTACAGGCGCGCGCCACCATGCCCAGATAATTTTTGTATTTTTAGTAGAGATGGGGTTTCATCATGTTGACCAGGATGGTCTCGATCTCTTGACCTTGTGACCCACCCGCCTTGGCCTCCCAAGGTGCTGGGATTATAGGCGTGAGCCACCTCGCCTGGCCTAGATTTACATTCTTCTTGGCAATGATACTGTGTACTTTCAATTGTTGATGGGAAAAGACATTTGTTTGTAACATTCCTGGCGTGCTAAGATGGAATGCTTGGTTAAGGTGGCTGTCACCAAATTCCAATTTTTATGTCCCTAAACCTCATCATGCCAAAATGCAGGAATTTTATTTCTATCAGCAATGGGTTCAGAGGCCCTGACCAACATTTTCCCTTGGGAGCTGGCATGTCCCTTTGGAGCCAAGAAAAATTTGGAGGGCGGGCTGCAGGTTTTCTACACCACATACAATGTGGGCACAGACCTATTTGTGCAAATGTTACCTTTACATCAGGTGGGAAATTAGGAATATAAACCTCTTCTCTCAGCTCCCCCCAAAGCAAGATATCATACCATGTCATGCCTCTGCCAAGGAACTCATGAGACACAGAATTTGTAGCTCCAGCAGTCTTCCTCTTTGTATTCTGGGAGTATGGGAGGAGGGAAACAGGGAATGGGGGACTGAACACGGCGATAGGGAGGCTTGTGGAAATGAGGGTGATTTAGGTTTTATCTTCCCAGGGCAAGAAGGATGAGTAAATAAATGGTCTTACTGGTAGAATGCAATTAAGCAAAGGAAATTTCCAAATTAATAGGAAGGAAACAGAATAGAAACTTGACCCATCCAGGCCGGGCATGGTGGTTCACGCCTGTAATCCAAGCACTTTGGAGGCCAAGGCGGGTAGATCACCTGAGGTCAGGAGTTCAAGACCAGCCTGATCAACATGGTGAAACTCTGTCTTTAAAAAAAAAAGAAACTTGACCCATCCAAAGAAAGCAGGGGAGAAGTTTTAAAAAGGAAACAAAACAAACAATACACACAGTATTAAGAAAAAATGTCTATTATTTATTATACTGAACAACTCTGACCACTAGAGACAAATGGGGGACAGGAGAGAAGAACATCTTGCTTCTCAATAAACTTCCCTTCCTTGTTTTAACATTTCTGAAGATTCTTTCCCAATCTATTACATCTATATTATAATGGTGACAAATTTTCCAACTCTGCCACTTCTTCAGTGCGTTATTTTTATTATCTTCATCGGAGGTGGAAAAAAAAAATAGATCCCTACTTGTAGTAACAAAACAATGTTGGAAACTGTCATTAAATCAGGACAAGTGAAAAACAGATCTGTTCCCAGACTCACAGGAATATACATTTAGGAAGTACACACACAAATAAAAATTAATTATACTCAATAAGATACATTAAGTATGTACAGCTTTCTGTATGTCAATTATACCTAGGTAAGTAGTTTTTAAAAAAGTATGATCCAACCCACACCACCAACTAATAAAGAAAAAACACATGAGTAATTCGAAAGAAAAATCACACGTTTCGGTTTATTCCTGCTTTAAGAACACTAACAATAACTTGCATGCAGTGAATACGGTTCCCTAAATACAACGGTTGAATTATTTTCTATACATATTTATTTATGGAGAATTGGTTAATAAACACATTTTAAGTTCAATATATTATGTATTTCTGAGTGGGGAAGCAATCTTAAACATTTTAAACACCAGAAATATACAAGATTCTAAATGAAATAATACAAAGTGCCTTGTGTTTTGATTCTGTAGTCACACCATAAAAATCTCAGATTAAGAGAACTCTGAAAAACATTGTTTTGAATGTTAAGAATCATGTTTTGGGTAAGGCGTGGTGGCTCACACCTGTAATCCAGCACTCTGGGAGGCCAAGGCGGGTGGATCACGAGGTCAAGAGATCAAGACCATCCTGGTCAACATGGTGAAACCCCGTCTCTACTAAAAATACAAAAAATTAGCTGGGCATGGTGGCGCGTCCCTGTAATCCCAGCTACTCAGGAGGCTGAGACAGGAGAACCCAGGAGGTGGAGGTTGCGGTGAGCCGAGATCGCGCCATTGCACTCCAGCCTGGGTAATGAGAGCGAAACTCCATCACAAAAAAAAAAAAAAAAAGAAAAGAATCATGTTTTGGGGAGAGGGAGAGAATTAACAGCCTTTCTTTGCCTTAATATACTTTTAAACGAAATGTTTTATGAAATTGCAATTGGAATGAAGCAGCTCCTAAAGTCGTCAGTGCCCAGAGGAGGAAAAATTGAGCACAGGAGCAAACTACTGTTTTACTCAACTCCTTCCAACGCTCAGCTGAAGAAGTTCTCACTTAAAAGAGCTGCTGAAAGCAGGCACAATGGCTCATGCGCCTAAGCCCAGCATTGTGGGCGGCTGAGGTGGGTGGATCACTTGAGGCCAGGAGTTTGAAACCAGCATGGCCAACAAGGTGAAACCCCATCTCTACTGAAAATAAAGAAATAGCTGGGTATGGCAGCAGGCGGCTGTAACCCCAGCTACCCGGGAGGCTGAGGCAGGAGAATCACTTGAGCCCAGGAGGCGGAGTTTGCACTGAACTGAGATCGCACCACTGCACACCAGGCTGGACAACAGAGCGAGATACTGTCTCAAAAAAAAAAAAAAAAACCAATAAAACAAAATAGAACACAAAAAGCTGCTGAAGTCTTTTCTATTGTAGAAAGGTAGTATGAGTAAGTTTTTCTACATATTAACTACAATTTATGGTAATTTGTGAAATGTTTTTCCGTTTTTAAATGCAAGAGTCTATCATATCTACTCACAAAGCAGCAGGCACTGCTAGGGGTCTTAGGCTAAGATCTGACACCCCAGCAGTCTGCATGGCCCGTAAGCAGGTGTGGAGAGGACCAAGTTCACCTGTCAGCAGCACCACGGAATCCGACTCTCCAGCCTTTCTACCATTCATTACCATAGATATGGCCTTTTTCTTGATATTCTATTCCCATTGGAGGCTTTTTATTAAGACCTTGTTCCTAGAAAGCAAATTAAATGTTTGTTTTTAAAAACGTAACAATCAAGACATATCAAGGAAGACATATCTGGGCTTCATCCTGGAAAACAGCCTAGAACCCTGCTGCTGGAATTGCACTTACACCCTTAGAATCATAGGTAAGCACGCCTGTGACCATGTCATCAAGGAATGACGACCATCACCCAAGTTATCACGCCTCTGTAATATGTTCCCTGACTTGTGCAAGCCATGGGCACGAGTCCTTGAACTGGCTTTTCTCATCCCTTTCCCAAAAACCCAAGTATGGCATTAAAGAACTATCCAAAGGGACCTCAGTTCTATTCAGCTGCTTTGCAAAGACAGATTATCAAAATACAGCAAAAAGCAGGATATCCCAAAGAAGCAAAAATCACACATTTCACACACTTTTTCCTGTGGAAGACGGTCTCGCTGTATTTCCTAGGCTGAGAAATGGCCTGACCCCCCGTTTCCATCTCGTCAGTTCTTCCCCTAACTTAAGGAAACTCTCTTTGATATTTGTCCTGCTATTCCAGGTGCTTACATGCCCACCATCCCTATTAGACAGTAGATTACTTAAAGAGGTTTTTTGCTAGTCATTATTTCTGTGTAGGACATATACTCTGAATATAGTAATTATACAATGTTTGTTGTTGCCAGAATTCTGTGTTTCAGGGTAGAAGCATCAACCCTGATACATATTTTCTTTTTCCTGGGGATAAACTTGAGTAATAATTTTGTTGAAACTCTCTACTGGCAATTCGAGCTTGAAATACATGGCTATTTAAGATTAATGCATATCTTATCTTGACTTTCTGCAGCTGAAAAAAATCAGGCACCCACTCTTAGTTTGTAGAAAAGCACCAGGTAATTACCTGTGAACACATTTGGGGCACAACATATTGTCTTCAAGGTGCGGGGGTGGAAAACTGGAGGCAGGAAGCAGGAAGAGCGCACTCACTCTCCCTTCTTGTTTTTCTGGAACCCAGGCCTGACCAGCATGAAACTGCAGGTGCACCCAACCATCTGTGTCTGCAGGGAGACTTTTCCCATGGACCACACACCATCTGACACCTGGCGAAACAAAGACAGACAGGTCAGACAGGTACCCACACACCAGGATGACATACTCACCTAAGACTGCATTATGGCCCATCACCCTTGATTCCTTCTTAACTGCCAGCTCCAAGATATGAACCCTGAAATCCTAACTGAACCTCTACGCTATCCTGTTCTTTTAGAAAAGCAAACAAGACAGTTCTGTTAAAACTTCATCTACCTGTTCTTTTAGAAAAGCATACAAGACAGTTCTGTTAAAACTTCATCTAGTTGGAAGCAGTAAAGTTGTAGGTGGACAGACGGTATTAAGACTAACCCAGAGGGTCTAGGAAGGGCTTCATGAAGTTAGTTCAGGGGTCAACTCTTAACACACAAGCAGTTATACTATCTTCTTTTCTTGTATTTCCTGTAATTCTTACAACATATGAGGTAGGTATTACTAACTCATTTTACAATGAAAAAAAAACGGTCCGGACACCGTGGTCCCTGTGGTTCTGGCTACTTGGGAGGCTGAAGCTGGAGGATCGCTTGAGACTAGGAGTTCTGTGCTGTAGTGTGCTATGCTGACTGGGTGTTCGCACGGGGACCACCAGGTTGCCTAACAAGGGATGAAGCTGCCCAGATCGGAAACGGAGCAGGTTAAAACTCTCGTGCTGGCCGGGCTCAGTGGCTCACGCCTGTAATACCAGCACTTTGGGAGGCCGAGGCAGGCGGGATCACAAGGTCAAGAGATGGAGACCATCCGGGCCAACATGGTGAAACCCCATCTCTACTAAAAATACAAAAAAATAGCCAGGCATGGTGGCATGTGCCTGTGGTCCCAGCTATTCAGGAGGCTGAGGCAGGAGAATTGCTTGAATCCAGGAGGCAGAGGTTGCAGTGAGCCGAGACTGCGCCATTGCACTCCAGCCTGGCAATAGAGCAAGACTCCGTCTCAAAAAAAAAAAAACTCCTGTGCTGATCAGCAGTGGGATCTCACCTGTGAGTAGCCACTGCACTTCAACCTGGGCAACATAGTGAGACCCTATCTCTTTAAAATAAACAGATAAATAAAGACAAGGGGGCCGGGCGCGGTGGCTCACTCCTGTAATCCCAGCACTTTGGGAAGCCGAGGCGGGTAGATCACGAGGTCAAGAAATCGAGACCATCCTGTTCAACAAGGTGAAACACCATCTCTACTAAAAATACAAAAATTAGCTGGGCATGGTAGTGCGCACCTGTAGTCCCAGCTGCCCGGGAGGCTGAGGCAGGAGAATTGCCTGAACCCAGGAGGCGGAGGTTGCGGTGAGCCGAGATCACGCCATTGCACTCCAGCCTGGGTAACAAGAGCAAAACTCCGTCTCAAAAAAAAAAGAAAGAAAAGGAAAAAAATTGGAAAATATTTAAATAACTTATTAATGCAATTCTGGGGTTCAGCAGCAGGGAATCCATTTTAGATCTTGTTTTTGATTTAAATTGCTTAAAGGGGGGGAACCCTAGACTACTATCCTCTTCTGATGCCATCAATAATTTACAGCAGCAGTTCTCGAACTGTGGTCCCCAGATCAGCATCCTTAGTATTGCCCAGGAAATTGTTAGAACTCTCAGGTTCCACCCTAGACCTAAAGCAGAAACTCTGTGGGCAGGGTCCAGGAATCACCGACCCTTCATGGGTTTTTCATATATCCTAAAATGTATCAAGCATTACTATCTACTAAGCTTATTTCCCCACTGGACCAGAATAAACTTTTCATGCTGGGCTTACCACTGGCTTCTTGTGGAGATTCCACTGCCTCTGGTGTCCTTGCCCTGGCTGAAATTCTTGCCCAGGAGGCCAGCACAGCCTCTGGGGCAGAAGTTGTCACCACAACTGTATTAACTCCCTCAAGGAGAGAAGGGGGCCCTTCCAGAGCAGGCAGCCCCTCCGCAGGGGGAAGGGCCACTTGAGGAGGCTGTGTCCCAGAACTCTGCAGGCACGCTTTCCCTTTTTCCACCTTTAATTTATTTTGCAATGACTTCCGGATTTTGGCCTCTTTTGCTGTGCTAGGGAAATCCTATAGAAAGGGTTAAATAATAAAGATAATAGAAGGTTAAAGTTCTACCAAAAATGGCCTCAGGGTTAACGAGGTGTAGATCAAATACAAAGTTTCACTTAGACAGGAGTCTAGGTTCAAGAGAGCTATTGTACAACTTGGTGACTATAGATAGTTAATCTTGAAAATTGCTCAGTAAGGCTGGGTGGGGTGGCTCACGCTCCTAATCCCAGCACTTTGGGAGGCCGAGGCAGGCGGATCATGAGTTCAGGAGTTCAAGCCCAGCCTGGCCAGGATGGTGAAACACTGTGTCTTATACAAAAATTATCCGGTGTGGTGGCCGGTGCCTGTAATCCCAGCTACTGGGTAAGGTGAGGCAGAGAATTGCTTCAATCCAGGAGGCAGAGGTTGCAGTGAGCCAAGATCATGCCACTGCACTCCAGCCTGGGCAACAGAGCAAGACTCTGTCTCAAAACAAAACAAAACAAAACAAAAATTTGCTGAGATGATTTTGAGTATTTTCACCACAAAAATAAGTATGTAAAGTGATGTATTAATTAGCTTGAGTTAGCCATTCCACAATGTATACATATATCAAAACCATATGCTGTACATGAAAAAAATATACAAAAAATATGTAATTTTTTTCGATTAAAAAATTAGGCCAGGTGCGGTGGCTCACGCCTATAATCCCAGCACTTTGGGAGGCTGAGGTGGGTGGATCACCAGGTCAAGAGATTGAGACCATCCTGGTTAACAAGGTGAAACCCCGTCTCTACTAAAAATACAAAAATTAGCTGGGCGTGGTGGTGCGCGCCTGTAGTCCCAGCTACTCGGGAGGCTGAGGAAGGAGAATTGCTTGAACCCAGAAGGTAGAAGTTGTGGTGAGCCGAGATCGTGCCACTGCACTCCAGTCTGGGTAACAACAGTGAAACTCCGTCTCAAAAAAAAAAAAAAAAAAATTAAAGTGATGGCCTGCCTTTTTTTTTTTTTGGGAGTTTCACTCATTGCCCCAGCTGGAGTGCAGTGGCACCATCTCGGCTCAAAGCAACCTCTGCCTCCCAGGTTCAGGACATTCTCCTGCCTCAGCCTCCTGAATAGCTGGGATTACGTGCGTGCTCCACTAAACCCCGCTAATATTTCTATTTTTTTTAAAAGATGGGGTTTCACCATGTTGGTCAGGGTGGTCTTTAACTCCTAATCTCAGGCAATCCGCACATCTCAGCTTCCCAAAATGCTGGGATTACAGGCGTCCATTCCCAGCCTAATATTTGTACTTTTGGTAGAGACAGGGTTGCACCATGTTGACCAGACTGGGCTGCCTCATTTTTATTACTCTTTGCAGACTTGGTGAAAAGTAGGGTTGGGAAATACTGTTCTTTCTTAGAACTAGGGATGGAAGGACAAGAGGAGGCTAAGGCAGTTCCTTTACTCACTTATGAGGTTACAACAGGTAATTAGGATAAGCATTGAAACGTCCATCCATAAAAAAGTTACCTTTTGGTTTGGGTAAGCAAAGGCACACAGGCGCTTATACGCATCCAGTTTCTAAGACAAGAGACAACTGCATTAGTAAGACAAGCAAGGCTCCTACCCCTTCCTCCCAGCAGCACCGTCCCCAGCCTAGGGCTTTACCTGGCCTCTGGTGCTTAGCTTTAGTTGCTGACACCAGGCCCGCACTATGTCCCGGTGGATCAGATTAACAGGCGGCAGTTTAGAGGGTAAGGGAGGGATTGGTATCTTCTTCTGAGGTCTGGGGTTATCTGCCTTCTTCTTAGGGCAGAGCACTAAAGAAGAATGGAATGAAGTCAGTAGTAATTAACTTGCTGTAGCTTTTCAGAATTTCATAAACAAAATCACTTTTAGTTACAAATAGTTCAATTCCTCTCAAACCTAGGACTTACCACTTCTAGATCCAGTTTTTTTTTTTTTTTTTTTGAGATGGAGTTTCACTCTTGTTACCCAGGCTGGAGTGCAATGGCGCGATCTCGGCTCACCGCAACCTCCGCCTCCTGGGTTCAGGCAATTCTCCTGCCTCAGCCTCCTGAGTAGCTGGGATTACAGGCACGCGCCACCATGCCCAGCTAATTTTTTGTATTTTTAGTAGAGACGGGGTTTCACCATGTTGACCAGGATGGTCTCGATCTCTTGACCTCGTGATCCACCCACCTCAGCCTCCCAAAGTGCTGGGATTACAGGCTTGAGCCACCGCGCCCAGCCCTAGATCCAGTTTTAACTCCTAAATCTCCCCACTACTCAGGTACACTTGCGCCTGTGAGCCCCTTAATCCACAGAATCCAGGTGATGGTACCAGAGAGGGCACTTCCATCCCAGGGGAGTTACCGCTGTCTTAGACTTGAGATCACACTCAGTGGTGTCCTCTTCCCACAGAGCAAAATCAACACCTGGCAGTGCTACACAGGCAACCACTAATACTCCAAATTCTGCCGCCCCCGCCCCCAGGTCAGGGCAGCACTCTGATCTCATTGCAGGCACGCCTCCTTAGCCCTCCTGTGTTTCTGTTCATCCAGCTTCTGCACCTCACATACACTGTCTTCATTCAGCAAAGATTTCTGGCCAGGCGCCATGGCTCACACCTGTAATCCCAGCACTTTGGGCGGCCAAGGCAAACAGATCACTTGAGGCCAGGCGTTAACCAGCCTGGCCAATATGGTGAAATCTCATCTCTACTAAAAATACAAAAACAGGCAGGTGTGGTGGCACACGCGTGCAATCCCAGTTACTTGGGAGGCTGAAAGGAGCTGAGATCATGTTGACAGAGCAACACCCTATCTGTGTCTCAAAAAGAAAAGACTTCCAAGGGGCCACGTGTAGTGGCTCACCCCTCTAATCCCAGCACTTTGGGAGGCCAAGGCGGGTGGATCACGAGGTCAAGAGATTGAGACCATCCTGGTCAACATGGTGAAACCCTGTCTCTACTAAAAATACAAAAGATTAGCTGGGCATGGTGGTGCGTGCCTGTAATCCCAGCTAATCGGGAGGCTGAGGCAGGAGAATTGCCTGAACCCAGGAGGCGGAGGTTGCGGTGAGCCGAGATGGCGCCATTGCACTCCAGCCTGGGTAACAAGAGCAAAACTCCGTCTCAAAAAAAGACTTCCAGAGTTCTCAGGTATAAAAAAAAAAAGACTTCCAAAACACACCTCCAGGACAGACAAAGCCTGTAACGACACTAATAGTTACTAGGGTTTACTAAGTACACATCACTTCTCAGGCTTAGTATAAATGCTTCACCTAATTATTCTGTTAATTTTCACACTCCAACCCCACTCCTGAATAAAGGTAGATATTGTCCTAACTTACTTTTAGGGTAGTAAGTTCGGTTTCAAGAATAGAGTTTCAAACTTATAGCTGTCTGTTCCCAAATCATTGCACATGGAAATTCTCAACTCCCAGTAGCAAGTGAAGGAAAACATGATCAACAGAACCGAACATGCTGTGAAGTCTGAAGACAGGAAGGGATCAGTGAGAGCAAAGGTGACTGACAGATGCTTCAGGGAGGTGCAGTTTCAGGTAGGCTTCCAAGAAGTGTAGGATTTGCACAACAGATGGTGGAAATTGCTTCCCTGGTTTTTCCCTTTTCCTTCGGAAAAGTTCTTCAGGCTTCCAAGACTTGAGAAGGTGGGATTTGAGGGTTTGTAGACCTCTTACCTTTGTCACCTCTGACAGGCACTTTTCCTTTGGTTCCCCCCTTTGCTGGTGTTCCCGGCAAAGCACTCGTGTTTGGTGGATTGGAAGCCTGCTGATCCTCTTCCCTCGCCTTCTCTGTGGAGGTCCACTGGGGAACAGAGGAGCTGATCAGTCTAGAGATTCCTCTGGCGTCCAAACCACACATACACTACCTGCCTCAAGATAACTCACTTCTAAGGCACCAAGACAGTCCTGCACTCCACTGGGTATCTTAATACTCGGTTTCATTTACAAGACTGGGAAGCAATGACGGAAAAAAATGGGAAGAAGCCAGTTTGAAAGCCCATGAAAACACAGATACAAACAAGAGTAGAAGAAAAACAGGATCTGCCTTGGGGGAAGAAGTGCTTAGGTAGGCCAAGAGTGGTGGCTCCGGCCTGGAATCCCAGTGCTTAGGAGGCCAGGGCAGGAGGATCGCTTGAGTCCAGTAATTGGAGACCGCCCTGAGTAACAAAGTGAAACCTTGCCTCTACAAAAAGGAAACAAAATTAGCTGAGCATGGTGGTGCGTGCCTGAGTCTTAGCTAGTCAAGTAGGAGGATTGCTTGAGCCAGGAAGGTAGATAGAGGTTGTAGTTAAGGTGAGGCTGGCGGCACCACTGCACTGCAGCCTGGGTGACAGAATTGAGACTCTCTGCACTGCAGCCTGGGTGACAGAATTGAGACTCTCTGCACTGCAGCCTGGGTGACAGAATTGAGACTCTCTGCACTGCAGCCTGGGTGACAGAACTGAGACTCTCTGCACTGCAGCCTGGGTGACAGAATTGAGACTCTCTGCACTGCAGCCTGGGTGACAGAATTGAGACTCTCTGCACTGCAGCCTGGGTGACAGAATTGAGACTCTCTGCACTGCAGCCTGGGTGACAGAATTGAGACTCTCTGCACTGCAGCCTGGGTGACAGAATTGAGACTCTCTGCACTGCAGCCTGGGTGACAGAATTGAGACTCTCTGCACTGCAGCCTGGGTGACAGAATTGAGACTCTCTGCACTGCAGCCTGGGTGACAGAATTGAGACTCTCTGCACTGCAGCCTGGGTGACAGAATTGAGACTCTCTGCACTGCAGCCTGGGTGACAGAATTGAGACTCTCTGCACTGCAGCCTGGGTGACAGAATTGAGACTCTGTCTTAGAGAAAAACCAAAAACAAAAAGCCCTTTCCTCACCTACTATATTTTATCATCTCTTACCTGGAATAATTTTTTTCACCCAGTCCTTCATTCTTGAACCCTTCCAAATAAATTATTTTCTAACACTGCTGGCAGAGTGACACTATGAAAACTTTACATCCTTTCAGCGGTTTATTGCTCTTAGAATAAAAATAATTGTCTTTGGCTGGGCGCAGTGGCTCATGCCTGTAATTCCAGCACTTTGGGAGGCCGAGGCGGGTGGATCACAAGGTTAGACGTTTGAGATCAGCCTGACCAACATGGTGAAACCCCATCACTACTAAAAATACAAAAATTAGCAGGGCGTGGTAGCAGGCACCTGTAATCCCAGCTACTCGGGAGGCCGAGGCAGGAGAATTACTTGAACCCGGAGGCAGAGGTTGGGTGAGCCGAGATCGCGCCATTGCACTCCAGCCTGGGCGACATAGCGGGACTCCTTCTCAACAAAAAAAAAAACAAAACAACAACAAAAATTAGCTGGGCATGGTGCTGCGCGCCTGTAATCCCAGCTAATCGATAGGCTGAGTCAGGAGAATCCCTTGAACCTGGGAGGCGGAGGGTGCAGTGAGCCGAGATCAGCCACTGCACTCCAGCGTGGGTGACAGAAGGAAACTCCTCTCGTTAAAAAAATAAAAATGTTTAGGCCGGGTGCAGTGGTTTACAGTTGTAATCCCAGCACTTTGGGAAGCCAAAGCGGGCAGATCACAAGGTCAGGAGTTCGAAACGAGCTAGACCAACAAAGTAAAACCGCGTCTCTACCAAAAATACAAAAAACTAGTCGGTAATCCTAGCTACTGAGGAGGCTGAGGCAGGAGAGTTGCTCGACCCGGGAGGCGAAGGTTGCAGTCAGCTGAGATCACGCCACTGCACTCTAGCCTGGAAGACAGAGCGAGACTCCGTCTCTAAAATTAAAAAAAAGTAATCTAAAACTTCCCCTAGCCTTTTACCTCGTTGCCTTTCTGAGAGCAAGATGGGTCACCAGCAGCTGTACTGGAGCCACCCGCGAAAATTCGGCCAGGGTTCTCGCTCTTGACGAGTCTGTTCAAACCCGCACTGTTTGATACGTAAATACGGTATGTGCCGCCAGTGTTTCCGTCAGTACGCGAAGGATATAGGTTTCATTAAGTTGGACTAAATGGTCTTCAAAGGATTATCCAAGACATCTACCATGAAAAACCATTTTTTTTTTTTTTTTTTTGAGACGGAGTTTCGCTCTTGTTACCCAGGCTGGAGTGCAATGGCGCGATCTCGGCTCACCCAACCTCCGCCTCCTGGGTTCAGGCAATTCTCCTGCCTCAGCCTCCTGAGTAGCCGGGATTACAGGCACGCGCCACCATGCCCAGCTAATTTTTTGTATTTTTAGTAGAGACGGGGTTTCACCTTGTTGACCAGGATGGTCTCGATCTCTTGACCTCGTGATCCGCCCGCCTCGGCCTCCCAAAGTGCTGGGATTACAGGCTTGAGCCACCGCGCCCGGCCTCATGAAAAACCATTATACCTCTTTGTATATAAAATAAACATTTTTAAAAACCAAAAAAAAATTCCCCTAAATCTAAATCTTTTTCTTCACTTTCAGGCGGATTACTGCACAGATTAACATTTGTATGGCATTTTTACATCTCTATAGCAGGTCTACATTTGGATTTGAAATTTACCTTTGCGTAACCCTTACAAGAACTACTCACTTTGGACCTCACGAAGACTTAAAACTGAGAGTTAAAAACGACCCGGTTCAAGTAAAGAGGCTCAAATATGGCCGTTCAGTGCATGTGCAACACGTCTCAAAAGCTCTCTTCCTTCAGTTTGTGCGGCTGCCAATGTCTGGCTCCGCTTGCTCCTAAATCCTAAGGACACTGGGAAAAAGAAAATTCGTACCCAGCACCTTTGGTTTAGGATCCGTGTCCATCTAAAGGGAATTAAGGAGTTTCACGCTTTTCCAACCTCAGCTCAATGACCTCTTCCTAAAATCTTCCCTCACCGCCGGTTTTCTCCTGTAACCATTTCCCTCTGGCCCCGATATTCAGTTAATTCTTCCGACCGGACAAAGCACTTCTTCAAAACAGAACACCCGGGCCCGGAGCAGCGGCGTGTGCCCAAAAGCACTTTGGAAGGCCGAGGCGGAAAGGTCGCTTGAGCCTGGGCGGTCAAGGTGGCACTGAGCAGTGATGCTCACTCCAGCCTGGGAGACACGCAGGGACCCTGTTCCCAAAACCAAAACCTCAACACCTCATTTCTCTCTTGGTCCCCATCTCTTGACACCCTCAACCTCCTCTCCTCAGCTAAACCTAGCAAACCTCATTTCTCACTCGGCTGTACCAGGCTGCAATCATGTTCTTGGGGTTTATTCCTAAGAGTCAAGAGAAGAAAACTCGAAGGTACATTGTTTTCTCCTTAAAAGACAAATCCGGGCCGGGCGCGGTGGCTCATACCTGTAATCTCAGCACCTGGGACGGCCAAGGCAGATCACCTGAAGTCGGAGTTTGAGACCGGCCTGACCAACACGGTGAAACCCCATCTCTACTAAAAATACAAAAATCAGCTGGGCGTGGTGGCGCGTGCCTGTAGTCCCAGCTACTCGCGAGGCTGAGGCAGGAGAATCGCTTGAACCCAGAAGGCGGAGGTTGCCCTGAGCCGAGATCGGGCCATTGCACTCCAGCCTGGGCGACGCAGCGAGGCTCCGTCTCAATAATAATAATAATAATAATAATAATAATAATCAGGAGTGCTCAGGGAAGACAGAAACACGAGGAGACAAAGACAGAAAACACATTCACTAAGACTGTACCGACCTCCTTGCCTTTGACCTTCTCCATATTCGGACAGGAAGCGAAGCTTGGCCAGATGCTTCCAAAATGGCCCCTGGCCCCAGATTGTTGTTTGCAAAGTCTCCTCCCACTTCCTGCCTCCCAAAGACCCTTTTTCTCCCCACCTCTTCTTTTCTGCTCCCCTTCTGTTCCCTCCCCCACAATTTGTAAATGCTGAAATTGTATCCTTTCTTATTCATGAGGGGACTTTTGTAGGGGTGGAATCACTAATCCCATTCCTGGCCCTTTTCTGTGCACTTTTAATGTAATTATCCAAAGTATGGTTCCGGAGACCTTGAGAGGTAAAAGGCTCCTGCAGAACAATTCCTGGGGGGGTGGGGGTGGGGGGAGTTGCCAGAGACTTGACTTGTGCAGGATGTGGAAAGGGATTTAGTAATGGAACATGTGGAAACAGCAGACTTCAGGGACCAGACTGGTGGCTTGAAGAAAGCTAAACTATTTTCTCCCACCGAATACATTCCATTTCCTAAGGGAGTTACTCAACCAACTAAAACTCAGGTTTCTGTCTGTACCAACACCCAGCATCTTTTTCATCTGCCAATGATCTAGTAATCATAGGTTTTAAAGTCTGCAGAGTAGGACGGGCGTGGTGGCTCAAGCCTGCAGTCCCAGCACTTTGGGAGGCCCGGGTGGGCGGATCACAAGGTCAAGAGATCGATACCAATTTGGCCAACATAGTGAAACCCCATCTCTACTAAAAATACAAAAATTAGGCCGGGCGCGGTGGTTCACGCCTGTAATCCCAGCACTTTGGGAGGCCGAGGCGGGCGGATCACGAGGTCAAGAGATCGAGACCATCCTGGTCAACATGGTGAAATCCCGTCTCTACTGAAAATACAAAAATTAGCCGGGCGTGGTAGCACGCGCCTGTAATCCCAGCTGCTCCGGAGGCTGAGGCGGAAAAATCGCTTGAACCCAGGCGGAGGTTGCAGTGAGCAGAGATTGCGCCACTGCACTCCAGCCTGGCGACAGAGTAAGACTCCATCTCAAAAAAATAAATAATAAATAATAATAATAATACAAAAATTAGCTGGGAGTGGTGGCGCGCGCCAGTAATCTCAGTTACTCAAGACGCCGAGGCAGGAGAATCGCTTGAACCCAGGAGGCGGAGGTTGCAGTGAGCCGAGATCTTCCCATTGCACTCCAGCCTGGCAATAGAGGGAGACTCCGTCTCAAAAAAAAAACGTCTATAGAGTATGTTATTTATTGTGTGTGTGTGTTGGGAGTGGGCAGGGCGGGGTCCTCTCTACTTTGACCAGGCTGGTCTCGAACTCTATGCTTCCAGTGATTCTCCAGCCTTCTCCTCCCAAGGTGTTGGCATTACACGTGTGAGCCAGCACTCCGAGCCCAAGTATTCTTTATATCAAATTGTGAGTTTAAAACTCAGTCAGGGCGTGGTGGCTCATGCCTGTAATCCCAGCACTTTGGGAGACTGAGGTGGGCGGATCACCTGAGGTCAGGAGTTCGAGACCAGCCTGGCCAACATGGTGAAACCCTGTCTTAAAAAATAATAATAAAATAAAATAAAATAAAATAACTCAGTCATTATTGTCCCCCATTTTATATATGACAGAAGTTTGTATGAAATGTTATTGGTAAGTTTTCCTATCATAGCGCAGTAAGTGAACTCCTAACCTACTGACTCCCAGAGAAGTTCAAGTTTTTCTCCTTAAAATAATTTGAAAAATCCTTCCACAGATCACCGCTCCCTGTCAGGTTGCCAAGAGACGCGAAGTGAAGGACGTAGCGACTGTGGGACTGAAATCCTCCCTTGTCCGGGTCCAAAGTCTCCTTTTTTCTTTGGGTGATTTTGTTGTATTTTTTTTTCCTACATCTCATTGTTTTTCCTAAAATGATAAATAAGACATGATCTTTATCCAAATGGTATTAGTAATCTGCTCACAGGCTAGAAATACGCAGAGGAAGTTGGTAAACGGAGCCAGGAATAGAGAAGGAAGTGCGTGTTGTGGACTGGCCAAACCCCGAGGCAGCAGAGAGGAAACCAGGTGAGCTGAGGTCATCTCGGAGATCATACTAGGGCTTTGATTGAACAATTTTTTTTTTTTTTTTTTTTTTGTGACAGAGTTTCACTGTTGTCACCCAGGCTGGAGTGCAATGGCACAATCTCGGCTCACCGCAACCTCCGCCTCCTGGGTTCAGGCAATTCTCCTGCCTCAGCCTCCTGAGTAGCTGGGATCACAGGCACGCGCCACCATGCCCAGCTAATTTTTTGTATTTTCAGTAGAGACGGGGTTTCACGATGTTGACCAGGATGGTCTCGATCTCTTAACCTCATGATCCACCGGCCTTGGCCTCCCACAGTGCTGGGATTACAGGCGTGAGCCACCGCGCCCAGCTGAACAATTCTTTACCACAGCCTTTGATAACAACCAGTAGGACTTACTAGCTCAGGTTTGTGTATAATTGAATCATCTCTCTTTTCTCAGTGTAATCGAACACAACGTTCAAAATAATTGGGAGTTCTGGGCTGGCCGTGGTGGCTCACTCCTGTATTGCCAGCACTTCCGGAGGCCAAGGTGGGTGGATCACTTGAATTCAGGAGTTTGAGACCAGCTGGCTAACAATGCAAAACCCCATCTCAACTAAAAATACAAAAATTAGCCGGGCATGGTGCCACCTGCCTGTAATCCCAACTACTGAGGAGGCTGAGGCAGGAGAATTGCTTGAGCCTGAGAGGCGGAGGTTGCAGTGAGTCGAGATGGTGCCACTGAACTCCAGCCTGGGTGACAAAGCGACACTCCATCTCAAAACCAACACACAGACAGAATAATTGGAGTTCTGAATTAAATATGAACTCAGGCATTGAAACATCTAATTCTGGGCAAGGTACAACTCATTTGTATATGAACAGTTACAGTGTATTTTGGGATTAATCATTTATAAATCCTTGGCTCCACTACTGTTTCTGGGAACACAATTCTGAAAGAATTGCACCAACCATTTAAAACATGTGAGTTAGCTGACATCCTGTACATAAAACAGATGTGTACAATTTAATTTAAAATGTTGAGAAATAACTGGAAATAATATTACTGAGTTCTAGAACTAGCAAAAAGCCAAATATGGGCTGCAGGAGTGGTGGCTCCTGCCTGTAATCTCAGCATTTAGGGGGACTGAGGCAGAAGGATTGCTGGAACCCAGGTGTTTGAGACCAGCCTGGGCAATGTAGTGAAATCCTGTCTCTACAAAAAAGAAAAAAAAGAAATTAGCCGGGAGTGGTGGCATGTGCCTGTATTCCCAGCTACTTGGGAGGCTGAGGTAAGAGGATCACTTGAGCGCAGGAATTTGAGGCTGCAGTAAGCTGTCATCATGTCACTGCACCCCAGCCTGGGCAACAGAGTAAGACCCTGTCCCCTCTTCCCCTAAAAAATCGAAAAAAAAAGGAAAAAGTCACATATCTTTTTGGCAGGTTTGTTGGAGTTGTCATTTATAAGCAGTTTGGGGCAGGAGGCAACTTATTTGTGCACTGGTTTCTCAAATGTAAAATAGGAATAACTGAAAAATGTATTTTCTGAGAAATAACTAATTTTGTGCATAAAACTTCCTACAAATATTTGGTAGTCAAAAGAAACACTTTTTTTTTTTTGAAGATGGGGTCTCACCAGGTTGGTCAGTCTGGTCTCAAACTCCTGACCTCAGGTGATCCACCCGCCTCAGCCTCCCAAAGTGCTGGGATAACAGGCGTGAGCCACCACACCCAGCCTAGAAAAACTTTATTGCTATTTTTTTTTAGACAGGGTTTCGCTCTTGTTGCCCAGGCTGGAGTGCAGTGGCGCTATGCTGGTTCGCCACAACCTTCACTTCCCTGGTTCAGATGATTCTCCTGCCTCAGCCTCCTGAGTAGCTGGGATTACAGGCATGTGCCACCACACCCGGCTAATTTTGTATTTTTAGTAGACACAGGGTTTCTCCATGTTGGTCGGGCTGGTCTCAAACTCCTGACCTCAGGTGATCTGCCATTCTCGGCCTCCCAAAGAGCTGGGATTATAGGCATGAGCCACCACATCTGGCTGAGGGGTCTAGTGCTATTTTTAATGTTATAATTCCAGTGCCTACATTTCTATCTTAAGTTAAAAAAAGTACTCATAATTGAACCACTGAATCTCCCATTCACTTACTGAATAAAAATGTATTAAGTGCTTGCTTTTTTTTGTTTTTGTTTTTTTTTGAGATGGAGTCTTTCTGTGTCACACAGGCTGGAGTGCAGTGGTTCAGTCTCAGCTCAATGCAGCCTCCGCCTCCCGGGTTCAAGTGATTCTCATGCCTGCCTCAGCCTCCTGAGTAGTTGGAATTACAGGCACACACCACCACACCCAGCTAATTTTTGTATTTTTAGAAGAGACAGGGTTTCACTATGTTAGTCAGGCTGGCCTTAAACTCCTGACCTCATGATCTGCCTGCCTCAGCCTCCCAAAGTGCTGGAATTACAGACATGAGCCACTGCAGCTGTCCCACATTCTTTCAACATATATTTTATTTATATGTATCATCGAAACAAATATAACTGTTCAATTTTGACACCTGCAAAGCAGGATAACTCCCTGTGTATGCCAGCCTGCAATAGGGGTTTTTATTTTGTTCTGATGTTTTTTATAGAGATGAGGTCTCACTGTTGCTCAGGCTGTTCTCGAATTCTTGGGCTTAAGTCAGCCTCCCTCCTTGGCCTCTCAGTGTTGGTATTATAGGCATGAGCCACCTTGCCCTGCCCTGCGACAGGTGCTTTGAAATCAGAAAAGTATCAGATCTAAAGGAGGTGGGGAGCTGAACTTACTGAACATGGGAAGGAAAGGATGGGCCCTGGGGAGAAGGTGCAGGCTGCTGAGGCAGCTCAGCCTGGTCAGGGACTGAAAGAAGAGCAGTGGGGCTGGAGCTCAGAGAGGGAGGAGGTAAGCCTGAGCGGGATAGATAGGCCTACTGATCTTTAGGTTGAGGACCAAGGGAAGCTATTGAAGGTGGGGGTAAGGGCAGGCTGACTCTGATGAGCATTTTGTAAAGACCTCTCAGCTTCTGCTGGGGCGAAGTGGCTCACACCTGTCATCC